TCTTACTGTCATTCATAGGGGGGTATTTGCCATAGTTGCCACGCTTGGCGAGCGGGTTGGCAACCGCAGTTTTTTTATTGTAATTTGGTTATTATCAGGAAGATGCTGCTGCCCATCTCCTGTCTGTTTCCCTTTGTCGCCTTTTACGACACCCACGGGAGGATATGGGGTAGTGGATATTCTTGACCGCCACTACACGGCAATAATACATTTTACATGTATTATAAGAGCACTTTTTGTACAGTTATTAAAATATTCTATCATCTGCCACCCGATATAAAAGCTATGGACTTGCCAAGGTTTAAAATACACCTCAAGAAGTGGTTAATATATAATGTGTTTTATAATTTAAATGAATATTTTAATACCAAACATTAATTTATATACAGTTTTATTTCTTAATTATTGCATACCCGATATGGGTAAAATGTGTAACATTTAATTGCAATGTCACCCTTAAATTGTACATACACAGCTTATTGGCAATAAATATTCTGATTCTGATTCTGATTCATCGGAATAGTGTCGAATAAGACTTGCTCTTGGATTTACTCACACTTGTGTGTGACTCCAATCATTATGTGTACAGCTGCCCATAACACCTCTCAATCTCACGCAAAATCTCAGGTGTCCCGGAAACGACGCTGCTACAGTCGGTCTTCAGCTTTGACAGGTGGCTCTTTCTGGCCAACAAATCTCTAGCAAAGACTAGAGCCCTGGTTTCGCTCGATCGCTTCTTCAATACGAGCTGTATTAAAGTTGCATAAGTCCCGCCGCATGCATTTGGAGATCTGTCTGTTTAGTTGCCTGTATGCTGTCAAATCTACTGAAGACTGCAGCTTCATTTCCCTTCTAACAGTCATGAGATTAAGAATGTGATCAGATAATTACTGTGCTCTTCTGCGGAGGGTCTTGCAAAACTTAGCTCTAAACGCATGGACAGTTTTCACGAGCTCGTCATTCATATCATCCACTGCATTGCAATCTTCTAGGCACTGAAAACGGTATTGTAGCTCGAACTGATAAGTTTTGGGACTTTGGAATAGAGCACGAGGAGGACGGATCGTTCACTTCATTAGACGTGACCTTTCCAACTTAACGTTTAGGTTCAGTGTGCCTCTCACCATTCGGTGATCGATGCCGGTTTTCACCCTCGCGATCACTGACACATGACTGAACAGTTGACGTCTAGTTGTCATCTCATTTTTTGTCGAACTTGTCGAAGTCGGATCTCGACCAGGTCCACTTCCTGTGGGGCCGATTCTGGTAGAAAGAGTTCATCATCCAAAATGTCCTTTTTTCTCCATGAAGTCGGCCAGCTGCTGTTTACTGTGGTTCCGTTGCCCTAATCTAAATTTCCCTACCTTCAGCGCACCTTTCTCCCTTGTGCCTAATTTTGCATTGAAGTGTCCCATTAACACCGTATAGTGGGTTTTGAAGGAATACATGGCTCTAGAGATATCCTCATACATTTCCTCCACCTCCTCATCGGGATGTGCCGAGGTTGGTGCATAAGCCTGTATGACCTTCAGCGAATACCATTTGGTGATTCTGAGTATAAGGTACGCAACCTTCGACGACACAATCTCAATCTATACAACGTTGTTAACGAGAGACTTGTGGCCGATAAATCCGACACCTCCTTGAGACAGATGGTCGTCCTTTCGGTGATAGAACAAATTGCCGGATTCGAGGATTACCATGTCCTCCCCCTCTCTTTGGACATCAGATAATCCTATTTTCACATCTGTTCTCGGCGCTTCGGCAGTCTTGTCCATCCTTTGGCTACGCGTAGACAGCGATCACCATCCGCGCGTCTACGCGTGCCTCTATAGGTCCCATAGCGGTAATGCCTAAACAGACAGACTCATCGACCACGTCCAAATGACTACAGATTCCTTGCTACAACAGGTCCCATCCGCAGAGGTCGTGATTCTTGGCGATTATAACGCCCACCACGCCGAATGGCTCGGTTCACGTTTAACCGATCTTGCGGGGAGATCTGTTTATGATTTTGCCTTGGCATATGGTCTTAGACAATTGGTTACATCGCCTACGCGGATTCCAGATGTTGATGATCATACACCTTCCCTGTTGGACCTTCTGCTGACCTCTCATCCGGACGGATATCAGGTTTCCGTCGATGCCCCTCTCGGCTCTTCGGATCATTGTCTGATCCGGAGTATGGTGCCACTCACGCTCCCCTTGCGGTTGCGTTCTGCAGGTTGCCACCGTGTTTGGCATCACAGGTCGGCGGATTGGGACGGAATGCGGTCTTTCTTTGCTTCCTACCCATGGGGGCGGGTTTGCTTCTCGCCGGATGATCCCAGCGCTGTTACTGACTCTGTCACTGATGTGGTGCTACAGGGAATGGAATTATTTATTCCATCATCTGTGGTACCCATCGAAGGCAGATCTCAGCCTTGGTTTGGTCACTCCTGTAAGAATGCATTACGCAGTAAGCAGGAGTACTATTGGGCCTTGGTTGAGGCTTCGGCGGCTCGGGATGTAAACACCAGAATGCTTAAAAAGAAGTATAACTTCGCCTCCAGGTCCTTCAAAAGAGTTATTGCCAAGGCAAAGTCAGAGCACATAGGCAGAATTGGCGAGAAACTAGTTCGTCTTCCTTCGAGAACCCGTTGCTGTTATCAGAAAGATGCTGCTGCCTATCTTCTGCCTTAGTTTCCCTCTGTCGCCTCTTGCGACACCACGGGATGATATGGGGTAGTGGGTATTCTTACCCGCCACTACACGGGGTAGTATAATTTTATTAACATGGTATACATAAAGAATATGAGTTTCTTTCTTTTGAACATTTTAACCTTTACCAAGTTGTAAGGTAAAAAATCCGTCTAGTGGGGTCTGTACCGGGGCAGCAGTGCAGCTGTTGTAGGTATTTAACTGAATTGTCAGAGAGCCTCTAACTGTCAAATGGGTACTGTGGAATATGACGACGCAATATTTCAGTGATGATGACACTGTGAGACCATCTGCGTGACCAATATATTCAACTCAGTTCCAACTAACTTACTAGGCCTCATTCATTCAAAGATCTTTTTATTTTTATTCAAGATAACACATCTTGAATAAAAATATGTTCGAAAATAGTATGTGCGTTATCTTAGATAAAGTAAGTTTTACGCGAATTGGTTTAATGCCATGGGTTTTTGGATCAGACAAAAATCGATTACTAAACTCTTAATAGTCGATTTTTAGTTAATGTTGATTGGGAGTTTTGGTGGAAGGTCCAATGCACTTAATTGCTTGATTATCGTTTAATTGTGGTTTGAAGTATATTTTAATTAGTGACCCACCAAAGAATCGGTTTTGGTTTCGGTTTCGGCAAGTTTCGGCAAAAAAATCTAGTTTCGGTAATAGTTTCGGTTTCGGCAAAAAATCTGCCGAACCTTCGGCGGCGCCGAAACTCAGTGTTTGTGGGTTATCATGCGTCGTTCGGATGAGTTCGTGACTTGTGTATTATTCATAATTATACAGAAACAAAAACAAAAACTTTTTTATTCTGTATAGATTATAAATAATACTTATTGAAAATCAATCTTTCGTTTAATTATCACTGGTTAGAAAAAATCCTCTGTCCTTGAAAGAACATGCCAGAAACCCAGCGGGACTTTTTTTTAAATAACAGCTTACATTCAGAGGCGTAGCGTGAACTAATATAAACGTGGGCGAAGTTGCATCAGCGAGGCCCCTTTTCTTTCGTTCCATAGATCTAACCAATAGACCTATCCTACCAAACATGCTTTGACACGACATACCTACTCATATCTATTAATTCGTGACAGGTCTCATATTCGGTCAATGTAACAGTCGCGGTCTTTGAAGGTAGTTACAACGGCCTCGCAGTCGCACTTAAGAGGGGCTTCTTGCGAGGCCCCAAACAAACACACTTAATTTGTGACTTTCTTTTTCGAGCGTAAAAGTGATCAAATTAATTAGTCATCTGTGGTAAAGGGCATCGCAATTTTGGGGGCCTCACGAGGCCCTTTAAGTGCTAGGCCGTGGGTGAGGGCCCACTTCACCCACGCCTATAGCTTGGTAGTGATCACCTTATTCCCAAGGGTTATTATCATCCATAAATTCCTTAATATTATCATAGCCCTTTTTATACAAACTTAGTATATTAAAGTTTTTGAACTTGGATCAGGTTTTGTATATTTTCTGGGGTTTTGTTAAGTTGTGTATATTGTGTATAAGCGTGTGAGTGTGATATATTAAATTAATGCTCTCATTGAATAATATTAACAATATTGTGAACACAATAAAATATGTTCTCAATTAGCGAGTAACTTTTTATGGGTGTAAGTGTTGATTTTTATTTTAAAATAAATAAACATATTGCTACATGACTATTACAATTAATGTTTTTCATTAACATGCATTACATATCTGTATAAGTATAAAAATATACCAGATTTCAGTATACAATAAAAAATAATTAACATGTTTAAATAAGTTTCGGTTTCGGTTTCCGTTTCGGCCGAAACTGACACCCAGACCGAAGGTTCGTTTTCGGTTTCGGTTTCGGTTGAAAATTCTGTTTCGGTCGGACACTAATTTTAATACATGAAGTAGCGCGATTTCATGTAGTAATTATATTCGCATGTGATATATTATTGGACGCAAGTGCTTTGATGCTGATATAAATCTCAAAATATTTTATCCGCTTAGGCGCCTTGGGATACTATCGTCATCATGGTCATCAACTGCATTGCTGAGTTAAGTTGTTATCAAAATCTCCCAAAAACGTTGCAATGTGACGTATCAGCTTATTGTCAAGAATTTTCTAAATAAAACACACACACACAGTTGACTGTATGGCTTAAGGCTTTTGCCTGCATTAATAAGGCAAATCGTAACAACAACAATCAACTGTCAATGTGTCAAATTGTCATTTGTCAATGTCTCAGACACGTTGTTTTGTTGTTAAACGTTTGTTAAATAATATTCATTCTCTTCTTTAATAATATATTATATTTCAAATGGCACAAGGGAAATTAAAAGTAAAAACTAAATTGCCCTCCGGTGCAAAAGTAAAGAAAAACAAAGGAAAGGCGGTAACAAAACGTAGCAATGCTCCTATTCCTAGCAAAAGTAATGCTGTTGATCGTAATAAAATGAAGGCGAAAGTGACGAAAATGGTAAATGCAGTGGCTGAACAGCAGCTCCGTGCTCTAGCAACCGAGACGCCGCAATTATCAGCAGCTCAAAAACGAGTGGCAGCGGCACCTACTGCTCCAACACCCGCCAAATAATATAACCTATATTGTGAAGTGTTAGCTGTTGGCTGTGTGATCAAAAGTTATTAAGTTTAAGAATTGTGTATAAATATAATATAATCTATTTAAGTTGTAAGTTGCTACAAATAATGTAATAAATTCATTACAAAAATAATCTTTTTCTTCTAATCTTTATTTTGTATTTTCAAAAATTGGGAGCTGTATGTTTTTTTATAGGATAAGGGTGACAAACGACACACAGTCTGCCCAATGGTAAGTGATCACTGGGGCCCACAGACATCCACATCTATCCCTGATTATGAATCAAAATGCAGATGTATTGTCACCCGACATAGTTCATCTTAGTGACATGAGGACTAAGATGGAATGCCTCGTTTCCAGTAAAAAGGGTCTCCAGTTCTCTACACTCATCATACGAAACAGCAGCATTAAGTTGCTATTTTACGCTGGTATTCCGTGAGAGCGTGATCTTACCCTGGTCGAGCCGCCCCATTCATGCTACAATCATAATGTGGCTGCAGTGTGGCTCTACCACGTAATATCTATCTACCTTTCATAGGACAAAGCTTGTTACTAATTCTCTAGAGGCCATGTCAAGTAAATTTTAAATGGAATGCAAAACTGCCTCTGTTAAAAATTTGCAAATCCTTGATTGATATTAAGTACAGCAAATCATATTTTATTAATTTGGAACAACAAACAGTTACATGATAAACAGAACTTTTAAATACACTTAACTTATTAGATGTAACCCATACCATGAACCATATGTAGATTGACATAATGAGGTGACAGAGGGAATTTTAAACAGATGATGGGCAGCAGCATGTTCCTGATATCAACTAAAAATAATTAAAAACCTACAGACCTATAGGCTGTAATGTAATGGAATTATTGACGTAATTGTGTACTTCAAATTACTTCATTAATTATACAATAAAGGGTTTTTCTATTTTCAATACTTTTTATCTACATTGCCTATAAATCTGCTGTGCAACCAGAGTAATTGACATAGCCTATCAGATCATTAAACTGCAGTGGTTAATGGGCTGACCATGATGCTTGAAGAACTAACAACAAAAGGAGAAGAAAGGTCCTCAAGTGGCAGCCTTGTACCAGTAGGTAAGTGCAGGGTGGTCCTCCACTAGATTGAGTGATTACCTAGCAATAAAAGTAGAAACTCGTTAAATGCAGGTGACTCAGGACCATATATCAGGCTACACGCCTTTGGAACTCCTTGCCTGATGACATCAGAAAAGCTCCCAAAAAGTTTGCTTTTAAAAGTTGGTGCATAATCATCTGTTAAAGACAACGCTTCTTACATGAATCATCCATGTCATTTATATTTTGAGATGTATATATTCATAGTTACTATTTGTATATGTATGTTGATATGAATATATGTATGTATGTATATATTTGTATATATGTATAAATAGGAGATATTTTTGTCGTTTAATTATTATATATATTAGTTAAATGTATGTAACATAATTAATTATCATTTTTATTTTGTTTTTATTCTATATTGCTACACCTACTTCAAATTCTCACCACTCCATGGGTTGACTGGAATGCCTCAAGGCATTATGTCCGCCCTTTGTATTCTATTAGATTAAGGAATGCAATAAAGAATGAATAAATATTTTGTGGCACACCTTGCGGTAGGTTTATGTTCCACGGTGGACTTGTGAATGGCTCCTGTAATGATGATTATGACGATATGTTGACCAATAAGTATTTGCACAATTTGTATAAAATTATTTTATTTGTGTCATATTTATTTTCCATTATTACTAGTCAAATTGTAGACCCCTGTAGAGCTTAGCCTTAATAAAACTTATAACACCAAAAAAAGTTCTAATACAGATGTTATCAAAAATTGTAAAGTATCCCCCAATTTATAAACATGTTATAAAAGTTGTCTTTTCAAATCGAGAATCTTTTAGCCCAGTTGTAATTATTATTATTACCTAAGTCTGATAAATATCGTTCTCCCATAAAGTATGTTAGGCATAAGAATGTCCATTATTCCATCTCAACCCAGAGGCCGTAAGAGACGAAAAACGATTATGGAAAATTCCCATGAGTTCTTGTGACGTCGGATGGATGGCGGTATAAACCTTTCGTATTTATACCGACTTACTGCCTCTTTGGACTAGTGATTGTAGTAGTGCGACTGCTGAACATGAGCTCCCGGTTTCGAATCCTGAATGGGACCAAAAACCAGTAATTGAGTTTTTCCATCAAGAAATTCTCAGTAGCTGCCTGGAGTTAGGAAGTTGGCGGTGTCTCACCCCCGTGCCTCGGAAAGCACGTACAAAGCTGTTGGTCCTGCGCCTATCTCTCCGGTCGTGTCGGTTTGCCGACCCATCGGACTAGAAGAGTGAGGGAATAGAGAGTGCACCTGTGCTTGCACATACACTTGGACACTATAATCCTGTCCTGCGCCGATGGCTAGTCACTGTTGAGGCTGGCCGCTGTGACCGAAATTCAGTCTGGAGTAAATGGTTATTATTATTTATACCGCAGATCATCACCGGTAACAGGTGAACAATATTTATTAGATATAATAATAATAACAACTGGGCTTTATTAAGATAAGATATATAACAGCACTAATGAGACTGCAACACGAATGGGTAGCTATATCGGGGAGAAACTGCTCTTGCAGAATATCAGCGTAAAATAGCAGCATAATATTGCTGTTTTTATATAGATAGATAACTTTTTATTGAACACCAGGAGAAAAACACAAACAAAATTTGATACAATGGGCGCTCTTATCGCTCAAAGCAAAGAGAAACTTTGTTTATATCATGTGGTATCACCCATTAGTTTTTATTCATAAAAACGTTACATGTTCCTGCGTCGTGGAGACATTTTAGCCGATTAAAAAAACGGTGGAGGTTCACGATTGGATGTATGTTTTTTTTTAATGTATTTTACGCAATATCTTCGCAAATTGAGACTTTATTTTGAAGATTCTTTTTAATGAATGTATTTTATTAAACAGCATATACATATATACACTTCAGGTGTGGCCCCATATAAATTTGATGTAAGACGTTACCTCCAACTAAGATTTTCTCCTATGTCGTGGGGGCAGTTTACATATATCAATTTCACAAGGATAAATATCCAGACCAGAAACAATTATTTGTAGGCCATACAAATACTTGTTCCGTGTGAGATACGAATCAGCGGCCCATAGCGCTGCAACTCTTTGCTAAGCCACTGCGCCACGGAGTTGTCAACTATATAACTTTTCTTCAATTCTTTGAAGTCAACTTTTACTTTTTGTAAAAAGTTACTTAACATAAATAAATTGCACGTGAAGAAACATTTATTATTTGTGCACACATAGACTTGTTACATGCGGGTCTCGAAACCCGCTGCCCTGTAGCGCCGCAGCCGAATGCTTAACTACTGCGATACCATATAGTCATGTATGGGTGTCATAAGAAGCGACGGCCATACAAATCTTATGTCCTCTGATAGATGGATAACCATCTCTTGCATAACAATCCACAAAATAGTTCTACGATAGGCATATGCGATCGTATTACATTACTGTCGCTGATGGTGTGTATGGCGTGTAACGTGTGATGGTTTTATACGTGGTAGAGCCATGCTGCAGCTATATTATGGTTGTAGCACGAATGGGTCGGCTCGACCGGGGAAGGACCACGCTCTCACAGAATACCAGCGTAAAATAGCAGCTTAACGCTGCTTTGTTTCTTATGGTGAGCGTAGAGAACCGGAGACCCTTTTTACTGGAAACGAGGCATTCCATCTTAGTCCTCACGGGTGACAACGCATCTGCATTTTGATTCGTAATCGAAGATAGATGTAGATGTCTATGGGCCACAGCAACTACTTACCATCAGGTGGACTGTGTGCTCGTTTGTCACCCTTATCCTATAAAAAAAATGCTGTGGCGATCATGACAAACAACAATGTCAAATCCTCGATTGCGAATCGATTTTGGCGATTCCTATATTTTAATAAATAGTTTGTACTTCAGGGCTTGACATTATTTTCCAATAATGCCATACCTGAGGGTAGAAAAATAGGGTATGTAGTTAATAATATTACATCCCTGATGGTAGAAAAATAGGTGATGAAGATTTTGATGTTACTATTTAGACGACATTCCGTCTAGAGTTCAAAGAGTTCCTGAGTTTACTAAAAAGGGTTAAAATTTTTAAGTAAATAAAAAAATCAAAACCGACCAAAGATTTCAAAAGAATTAAATAATTTTAGTGCGTTTTTTATGAAGGAGCAAACGCTCATGCCGCTCACCTGATGGTAAGTGTCGCCCGCCCCCTATAAACATCTGCAACACTAGGAGAACTGCAGGTGCGTTGACGGTCTTTCAAAAAGGGGTAAGCTCGTGTCTTACTTTTAGTTTTTTAGAAGAGGCTGCTGCCCATATCCTGGTTCGTTTCTCTCTGTCGCCTATTACGACACCCACGTGATCATATCTGTTTAGATATTCTTTGTCTAAGGTGGCCAAACAGCTGCCGTTTGCGCAGCCACAATAACGCCACTTCATCCTCATTACAGCCCATCTCAAGTCCACTGCTACACATAGGTCTCAAACAGGGAATGCCACAAAGCATACCCCAGCAGGGCTAGCAGGAGACAATTTTATTCCCGGGGAAAGGAGAAAATGTTTATCTCCTCGCTTAGTTTTATCCACCCTTCGAGCCACACAAGTGGATATAATATACAGTAGATAAAATGGGAAATAGACTTAGATAGATTTTTTGTATGAATATAAACTTAAACTCTCGTCCAATGAACTAGGATAGAAATGGCCCTTTCAAATGTCAAAAAAGCATAATTTTTTATCTTTTATTTGGCTCCATGCTACGGACGGGGGATATTATGTCTACTCGTTATGTCTAACGGGGATATACCTCTCCCCATTGCCGTGCTTTAGCATAGGGACGAGATAATTTTATCTCGTGTCAGTGGATATAATCGGGGCATAAACATTTTGTCCCCAG